TTAACAGCTTCCAATTGACCGCTATCCTCCACCTAACAATTTATTGCATTTTTCTCGTACATTGGATGCATAGAGGTGACCCAGGGGATCTAGAGCATAGTGTAACTCTGAAAGAATTATGATATCATTTAATCCAAAAGGCGAAGAAGCGTAGTGCCAACCTTTGGGAATAAGCCTTCTTGTTCCGTTTGCTTCCCTCGGTTAACATTTTCTTCGCAACTAGTTCCATTATTTTATTCAAAATATACGGATACATTTACGAAGAAATAGCCCAAGTATTGTCCCCGGTCTTGATTGACATCATTGTTCTTTATTGTATTTTTTACACGATTGAGAAAAGTCCTAACAACCATTGCTTGAAACTGGACAGTTTATTTGATCTATGTTATCCAAGTCGTTTGATATTTTTCCCGTGTAGATTTGTCTTTCACTACTTGCGCGAGCAGCAAACATTCAGATGGATCAAACTCAGTACTGTTCTGACGCATGAGCTCTGGTTAACCGTCGGCTTGTCTCTCAAAGCATTGCGCTCTTTCATAATCACCGATGCGCTCGCCTCATTGAGTAACTGAAACCGCTTGATTTTAATGGCGGATAATTTCTGACACCGAAATTCGCAATATTCGATAGAATAACAAAAGAAAAAAAATTAAACCAATATTTTACCAGTCACTTGCAAAATTCATGCATCCGCCAAGTTCGACTGCCCTTTCGTTGTCCGAAAGTTCCTAACCTTATATATCGACGATATTCTATTGCGGGGAGTGGCTGTAATGTACCCCATAATCGCTTTAGCTTAGTTATTCTTTATTTAAATGCGATGTAAAATGTTTTCATAAGTTCCAACAAGTCTCTTCCCAAATGTTAATTTCGAAGAAGTGACAATAAAGATGCAGGGCTTGTTTACAGTATGCGCTACATCTTCCTCGGTGAACTTAATTTACGTGATGCGCGACCAGTGACTGACTAGTGTAGATTACCACTGTTTTGGCCCCGAATATCGTGCGTTCATATCCCGCCACCAGTGACTTCTCTATTCCTCGAGAGCCCTTGGTTAGCAGGTACCTGTTTCCTAATTATAGTATTGTACAATACGTTCCATTGTTATGTATCTTTAAGACCCGATCTGTTTCAAGCAATCTGAGTTATCAGTTTCAGTTTAAACAGCCATTAACCACTTTCGAGCGATGGTTCTGGTTATCTTTCGGCTACCCAATGTAGACGAAAGGATAGCTATATTGAAATAGCTCCGATTTTACTCGTCTATGGTCGGTTGCTTTTTGCGGTTGTTCCAGCTGTTTCACTTGTTTTTTTGTTAGGTATAGATGTACAAAAGAGAGTTATTGGTGTTTGATCACTTAAGCTTTCGCGAGCTTCTGTCCTGGAGTAAGCTTCAGCCACTACTCTGTTCGGATATCAGCGCTTGGATTCCACTGATTGAGACCGTCGGAACATTTATTATTCACATCTCTATAAAGCCGTCCTCCGTGGGTGATGAGCGCCGAGGCAAACTGTAGTGGAAAAACAATTAAATGTCGCTGGCAAAATTGCATGCGAAACTTGATCAATAGTTCAAGTTAAACTGCCTTGCTTGTGCACCCAAGATGCGTCTAATCCATGACTGGAGATGTGTTAAATTAAATGGAAAATTGTAATGCTTAGTACCGTTCATCCGCATTCATTTGAGACAATCATATCAATAATATAACAGCTTAGTTTCATTTTTACAAAAATGTTTTTCATCGCTTCTTCTTTTTAACTGCCACAGAACTGAATCAGGAATCGGAATTTTGTTAATTTGGAAATAATTAGGTTGTGATGGACAGGGTTTTTCGATTTTTATTCATTCTCATTATTTCATTGTTCTAGGGTTCCGTGGTATTTTGCTGATCCAGTTCTGTTGTAGGCCTTGGCGTCCTAAATCCATGCGTGTCTGATTTGGAGTTATAAAGTCACTTCCTAGTGGCATTGGAATACTTAGACAGCAGCCCAAACAGCGTTCACTTTGTTTCTAGTCACACTTGACAGTTCGAACCGTCACGCGCACATGGTTCAATTACTTACGTGTGTATACTGTCACCGAACCGATCAGTCTCTACGTGCCACTAAGAAATTGAAATTTTGGAGGATCGTACAATGTTCACAGATTTATTATCAAGAAGACAGGCAGGTCACACAGTCTTGAACAGATCGTAATAACGTGAGCATCCCTGTCAGAGTCCGTTCAATAAAATGTGTATGATTGTATTATCGTTTTATTTGTGCTGTCCGCATTGTGTTGGAACAAAGAAGAAAAGGGAGAAATTTGCAAGTCAGTAATATGCAGCATATGAATTCGGACAAACCCATTGATCAATCGTAGTGTTTAAAACTCGAGCTTCATACTATTGTGTGATTTACTGTGAACGATTCCTTAATACCCACTATGCGCCTCCTCAGTATGTTCGGGGGTGGGTGTCAAGGTTTGTGGTTTGTCACCCTATGCACCTCGAAAATACTCCCATTCGACCAGGCGTCTCGAATAGCCTCTACTGAGGAAGTCCTCATCACCGCCTTCTAGTGGCGATGTTTTCCCACCAAAGTGCCGATATATATATATATATATCGCAGGACATCTTAGATGTGACACAATAATTATTTACGAGCATAATCATCACCCTGGAAAACTGTAAACACAGACTTTCCATTCTACGAAATGGTTGAATTCGTACTTATGCTTATGCGGATGTGTTGCACATTTTCTTTGGTTTTAAGTTGCGTCATATTGGTTTGGTAGGGAGTAATATCTGGCGGTAAAAGTTCTTCAGTTTCAGTTGATTAAGTTTATTTATCACCATCAGCTTGTCTGCCGAACTAAAAATTGAATTTTGAACAGCTGATCATCTCATTTGGTCTGTAATCGTACCATTGTTCAGCGGCTCCAATGTCATGTTCAAATAATAATCGACATCGCTCGTAAAAAATCAACGACATTTAGAGTATTGCTTGAAACTTTTTAATCTAAATTAATGTGGAGAGGCCTCGATCGTCAGTTAAATCCGTGATATCACATTTTTTTTTTGATTAATTTCTTCGCTTCGGCTCATCCTTTTCTTGATTTGCGTTTGAAAATCCATCCAACCTTTGAGATGCGCACTTGACCCGTTCCTCATTAGTCATTCAGAATACTAATCATCGGTTCGTCACTTTCCTATTGACCTTCAGCAATCCGTCAGTTTGCTGGCTTATCCATCACCGGCAGCCGATAATTGTCCACTCCGTGGTCTCCTTGATCCTGTCTGGCGAGACACAATTGCCAGTGTCATCAATAGTGCCGTACTCAGTAAGTTCTGTGACCTGTTGAATTGTAACTGCACATTTGGACCAGTGAGGTTCTGCTACAACGTTACTATAGTTACTATAGTGAATTATCTTTATAGGAAGTGTGGTGTATTCATTTTTGAGTGCATGTTGGTTCAATTGAAAACAAACTAATTGCAAATTTTAATCGTTTTTTTCCAGAGGCTCATGATCTTCCTGTTCAACCGGCTCTTGAACAGGGTTTGCGTGCATTGCAGCGTTGTTTTCAGGATCAGTATTTCGTGGAGGCACAGACCTTAGGGCATTTTTTGCTCTATCATCTAACTCCAAGCCAGGTGGATGCAGCGGAACAGGCAGCGGCTAGTTCTGTTCTGAACAATCTCAGCGTAGGTGGAGTAGGTCCTGGCTGCACAGATCATTCAAAAACGGACGCAGGTTCAAGCCCACCATCCTCTTCATCCATGGATGAGCGGTTGTCATCCACAACCAAGTCTCGAGTGGGTGGATCCAGCACTACACGACGGGCTGGTGTTCTCAATGGACATAACTCCGAGCCACGCCGCCGGTCAGTGCGTCGTGGTCGTGCCGGTTCGTCCGCAACAAACACGGCTGGAGAAACACAAACGCACAGTGCCTACGATATTGAAGACTGCAGCTCCTCCTCTTCCATGGAGGAGGCCACTCGAAAAGATGATGAAGACGACGAAGATGACGATGAGGACGAGGACGATGATGCAGATGAGGATGTTGGACACTGTTGTGTGGATGATATTGATGAACACGATGGCGGTGAGGATGATGATGATGATGACCCGGATGGCGGACAAAGCGCTGGTGGATCACTCGGCCATCACCGTCGCACACGCGATCATGAAGGTTCGACCGGTGGAGCCGGTGGTGGGGGCGGTGTTTCCGATGGCAATTCCAGCGTATTCCGGAATGATCAAAGTTCGAACGGAGCCGGTAGTGGAGGAACAGCTCGTCTTCAATCCGGAGTTCACAGACTTGCGTCCACTCCTAGTCCGGTTTTACGAACGCGTCGTGCACTCGTGGCTCGCTTTTGTCAATCCATTGTTTTAGACGACCCTCATGCTCAGGTTCTCAATACGCCACTCCAACCGTCATCGTCCTTATCCCCATACCCTTCTTCACGTTCCGGGTCGGGTTCACTGCGCAACCAATTGTCGACCACCAATCCTGTCCCACGTTTTCGACCACAGTCGGCAGCAGCAACTGTGGTGTCCCCAAGAACTAGTGGTAGTAACAACAGCAATATTACCTGTCTTTCAGATCCTGATGGTACAACCAACAGTCCTCCTAACCTGGACTCTGCATTTCACGGTCTCGTATCCCTCTCCTACCCACACCATACGGAGTTCCTCGCGGCTATGAATGATGCCTTGAAAGCGTATGCTGGTTCCATTCTCCTCACAGACGATGATCAATCCGCTTCATGCAGTCTGACAGCGCCCAGTAGTCGGATCAGCCGAAGTGGTGGCAGTGGCGCGGGTGGGGGTGGAGCAGCATCAGGTCCACCACCTTCTTCAGGTGGAGGAACGTGTGCCCCCTAGTCTTTGATAACGTCAGGTCGATTGCTTTGTTGTGTTTAGGGGAGGGGTAGCTTCCTCGTTAATAATGCTAATATTGATACACTTATTGCCATCACTGCTATTTTGCTCTTTGCCTCTGTAGAATATTCACGTCATAGTTCCCATCTCAGCGACCTATGATTTTCCGCCTTCCCACGCCCACTCTTAAACGTCTCCGATTTTGCTTCACTCCTCCCAGTTCATTTTTTGTTCCACTTTCGGTTCCTTTCAGTCACATACATTCGAGACTGCCACATATTTGATAAATCCCACATGAATAACCATCTCTCCATTCACGAATCCCTCACATCCGCATTGTATAATCCCATTACACGTCACTTGATTTTTGCTGAGCGGCGTGTCCTCTGGCGTGCTGTGTCGTGATCCCACCCCCTTTCCTCAAGAATACAACTGATAGGAAGGACGTGACAGTTGCGACTTCCAGTCTGCCTTTAGTCGTTTTGTCTAGTCAGACATGGGTTCTCTCGTTCTACTACCATCTTCATCACCGCCACACACACACATCGTCTTTCGTTGTGATCTAAATTTAGTACTCCAAGTGCTCATTTGATCCCGACGCCTTGTGTCCCTGCTCGCTCCGCGTGGATATTCCCATTTCATTCAGAGGTTGCACACGAACACAACTGCGTTGTTGGTACATACGGCCTTTGACATTCTCGATCCCCATCGATTGCCCATCCATCCGCGTGCCTGCGCTTCCATCTTTCACGAGCTCCATACTACTCTGAGAGAAAAAAACCCAAACCAATGTTGACTTTGCTCGTGATGCATTCGTGATGACGACTATCTTACTTTCTCTCCCCGATACCCGCTTGTCGAATCCGCTCATGATCGATCGTACGCGCACATGAACATTCGCGTTCGATCCTACTCTTGATGCGTGTTGACCCCATTCGACCAACCGACAAACCATCAATCACTCCATTCTCTCTCCACCTCCCATTTTAATCCTTTGCCATTTGGCATCGGATCTCATCGCCCCCTATAGACGCACTCGTGTGTTGCGTTGGGTGCATCATCTCACTTTTTGGTGTACTTGCTTCCAACCAATATCAAACCGTACAAAACATATTGCGTCATTTCTTACTGGCGCTTATCAGTCTTGATTTTACAGGGGTTCACAGGTTTGCGTGGGGCAGAGAAGTTTTCGTGCAAGAACACATGGGTCGCATTGCTAAAACTGAATATCTCATTGTCTTTTCCTTAGTGTTCGTATTCGTCGTTTGACCTCAATATTCATTTTTAACATATTGCCCGCCTGTCTCGAACTGGTAGTTAAGCGCTTTATCGAGTGCTTCTGATTTGGCATTCACTAATTCCGTTCTGATCTAAGTCGTTGGGAGAACAATCATGTTTCTTAAACTATGCCTGTATACAGTTTAGAAAAAAAGAGTCTAAGAAGAAATTTCTCTTCCATCTTTCTCATCACGCAATAGTCAACGAGAATTTATTGCAAGATAGCGCTGGGAGATGTTGGCTGATCAGCACGGGTTAGTATTCCAGGCTAAAAATAGAGAACTCTTCGTAAAGTAAGTCAGAGGTCATTTGTGACGGACGGTATGTGCAGTAGTCACAGAAGTAGGGTGAAAAGTAACTAGAAGTTCAGTATGTGATGAATAGGGGAAGGAGGAACAACGCTTCGGTTTATGCGCAGTCAATCCACCGTCGAAACCAAGATGTGTCCGAAAGAAATTATTTTTGCACAGTTCCCGAGACTGCAAATTGCAATCGCTCCTGTCGTAGGTGAGTGTACCCTCTATAACTGCTCCCGAGCATACAGGTGTTGACCAAACTCGTGCAACATCACCCTCATTTTGGAAATCCCTTTCAGCATGCAGTATCATAGTTATATATATATATATATATATATGGCTATGAGAAAAGTGTATTTATTCCTGACTTTATCTCCAACATATATGTTCTTAGTTCTCTTCTATCGCCATCTGAATTACCGTGACCTTGAGTGCTGCGATAAAATTTGTAGTAGTTCGAAAGTTACAGCTCTGATTTGGAAAATATTTTAGGCAAAGTAGCATGGGAGTTTATTCTTTTTAATAGGTGATTCCTGGCCAATGAGAGTTTCTATTAAGTTGAGCAGACGTATTCCAAATCTCTAATCTCTTTTCATCTGATGCACAGTAAATAAGCAAATTATTGAAAATATTCCAGCTTAAATAAATTGATAAATTATTTGGCTACAACTTACGCATTATCTACAATACTGGAAGAACTGAAAACATACTCCAAGAAACAAATTGATTTTCGAAAGTTGACCTTGAGGTGTGCGGCTCGTTGAATAAGCGTTCTGTAGTGTCACCATGCCCAAACCGGATGAAACTTTCAAAAGGTTTTGGCATATATTTAAAACCGAGTGGCAACTTAAACAAGAGACGCGTAAATCCGTTGACTCAGTTGGTGTCTTGTGGAAGCGCTTCGATGTGAACAATTTGTTGCATTTTTAAAAAAATTTCTCCATCAAAATATAAACCGAGAGGGAAAAAAACCGGCCATAGCAGAGAAGAATTGCACAAAGCCAATCTGGAGGATAGCCCGGGCTGATTAGCCATTTACCCCCACGTTTTCGTTTGGAAAATGATGGCTCAATTTGAAATGCAGCTGAGGCCACGTGATATAAAGCTGTTATCGTATGCCCAACAAAACAGCGCGTACTGATTTGACCAACAAGCTCAAATCGCATCGCCCGCCCATTTGGCAATGGGTTTATCTCACTNATCTCACTGGTGGCCAACGTGTAATTCAGCATATTGTTGAAGCTTATCTACTGAGCCAGTTTTCTAATGAATTTCTTTTTACCTGTCAAGAGAAGTAAATATCTACTCCGCCTCACGAGTTGGAAAGGAAGTGATTATCGAGCGCATTGTTGTTGGTCTCCTGCATACGCCAATATGGACAGCAAAATATCTTGCATTGATAAGGGAGGTTTTTGATAACTGTCTCTCCAAAAATGCTTTCGCGGAAGTCATAGTTTTCACACATGAAGGTTGGCATATCAGCTCGCTGGAGCTTGGTGGTAGAAAACAGTTAGACCTGAATAAATATTATTTTTTCACATTTATGCAGTTTCTAGACGGGTCGGGTTTGATGTCAAATTCGTTTTATTAAGGTGCAGCAGCTGGGATTTTATTTTAGAAACTTTTCCCTCTATCAGAAATAGGGATAAGTCAGCTGCCTTGCCGCAGGTCGCCGGTGTTAAGGGTGTGCGGTATGTAAGAGGAAACTTGTAAAATCTGTTTGGCAGTCAACTTGGTGGATTCCATCCTAAAGCGACTGCCTCCAGTGCACAGAAATGAAGAGGAGCAAATGGAACATGGACGAGATGAAAGTGCAATACCTGTATAAAGTCTGAGTCATTTTAATAAATAAATTGCAGTTACGTTTTCTATTGTGATCTTACAACTGATGCATTTTCAAAAATCGTTGAAATCGCGAAATTGTACATTTTACTGACATGCGGCTAATAGAGCCAGTGACATAAATGGGTCTAATATCAGATATGTTATGATGTGGGGCAGTATCATATTCAATCCGGTGAATGAGGCTGCAAGAACGAAGCATTGGCAGGAACAAATGTGATGAAAATCACGATGTTGCACGAGTTTGGTCAATACCTGTGGTGAAAACAATTTGTTCGAAGCATGTCCGTTATCAAAGGAATGACCGAGAACAGAATTACAGATAAGCTCCACCATTTCTTCTTTTTATACTTCCTTTTCATACAATATACAAAGATACATTTGTTCAGGAAAGAGGAAAGCTGCCTATCAAAGGGCTGCCATTCAGCACACAATGGGGAAAGTCAGGCGGTGATAATTTGGTGACGCTTCTCCGAAATTCCGCAGAGGAGTGCTTAAGAAGTCGCTTTTGTACCAATCGCTCGGTCTTTAACGCCATGTATCGCACGTTGAGGGATGCTGACCCAAGGATTCTTTTTATTACACACTTTTGTGTGGTGAACAGCTGACGGAGAAAGCCCCATAGTCGCGAGGACCTGCCGTTCTGTGATGGAAACCGGTAACCTAAGCCCCGGGACTTGGATTGGTGAATCACATAAGGCCCCGAAAGGTAAGGTGTGGTATTGAA